TCTCTTTGGAAGCAGCAAGGATCAAATGCCCTCATGTGACTATCTGTGTTCCACAACAGTGTCCCACTTTCTCAAGGGATTCGGTGGCTCTGAGGGACATTGGCATACATTCATCTGCGAACTGTTGTCCATAAAAAGACCTTAACCTTTCCATTCTATGAGAACGATTCAGCTGGGTCTCAGATTAGCGGAGAACAGCACTAACACAGAGATTGATGAGCTCAGCGTTCCTCTTTGTCTTGGACAGATGACTGTCTGGATTGTAAGTGGGAGTGGAAAATAAAACTCAGAATTCAGCTCATTCTTCTGTCATTAATAAGGCAACTCAGTGTTAACAGTGTTCTTCAAACATTATTGTATCCGTTTTTCTGGATCACACTAATGACGTACAGTAATCCATCCTGCACTATTTGCGTGACAAATATAAAAAAAAAAAAAATTGGCGGGGGAGGGCGTTTTTGTACGTGTTTGGCCAATCAATGTCTACTTACGTCATTTAAGTACCAGTTTAGTACCAGTAGTGCTGGTTAGACCCTGCTCCGGAGTAGGAGCTAATTTGGTTCTCGAAAAAGGCAGTCCGGTACTAAAATCGCACCCAGTTCCGGCGGTGCGAAAACGCCAAAAAGTGGGTAGTTCCACAATTAGTTCTGGTACTATGAAAAGGTTCCCGCGGTGCGAAAGGCCCTATTATCAAAGCTCTGGTACCTCAACAGAATCCACATATCAAAGCCCTGGGACCCACGGTTGCAACAGCCTAGCAACCACCCAGAACACCATAGTAACCAACCAGAACACTATAGCAACCGCAGAGCAAAGCCCTGGACCCACAATAACAATCACATAAACAAATTGTAGAATTACAATAGCAACTACATAGCAACACCCTAGCAACCATGCAGGACACCATAACAACCAAATGGCAACACCCTAGAACACTATAGCAACCACATAGCAAAGCCCTTTAACTATGAGAGTAACCACCCACAACAACATAGCAACCACATAGCAACACCCTACCAAGTTAGCAACCAACCAGAAGACCATAGCAACCACACAGCAACACTATAGCAAGTTAACCACCACCCTAAAACACCACAGCAACCACATAGCAACACCCCACCAAATCAGCAACCAACCAGAACACAACAGCAACCACATCGAAACACCCAACCAAGTTAGCAACCAATCAGAACACCATAGCAACCACACAGAAACACCCTACCAAGTTAGCAACCAATCAGAACACCATAGCAACCACACAGAAACACCCTACCAAGTTAGCAACCAATCAGAACACCATAGTAACCACACAGAAACACCCTACCAAGCTAGCAACCAATCAGAACACCATAGCAACCACACAGAAACACCCTAACTAGTTAGCAACCAATTAGAACACCATAGCAACCACACAGAAACACCCTACCAAGTTAGCAACCAATCAGAACACCATAGCAACCACATAGCAACACCCTACCAAGTTAGTAACCAATCAGAACACCATAGCAAGCACCTACAAAGCAACAAACTTACATCTCAGAAAACCTTTTGATTATTTGATGAGTTTGACATGTCATGATTTAAAAGTCATAGCAATTTTGATTAATATATTTTCATATTTGAATTAAATACTGATTTAATGTTTGATAATAGTTAGTAAAAAGTTTGTTTGACCCATATTCCACCACCTGTTTTATTTATTGCTGGTCTATATGTTATTCTTTTCTTCTTCCTGAAAACTCAGGCAGCACACAGATCTCAACCCCAGAACCTGGATTATGAACCAGCCTGGCCTAAATGGAACAGCACATTTAAGAAACGGAAAAATAGGACCAAAACCCACAATCGTTGCCAATAAGAGAGGAAAGCAAGACCAAGCAAAAAGAGGTTATCTACAGTTGCCCTGTGATGCTGATTTCATCAACGCTTATAGCTGTGAAGTCTAAGATGATGTGAATGATTTAACGGGTTATGACAGACACATCTTCCTGTTATATCAAAGATGTCATCAGCTGCCCAATGCAGTTCTAGCTCAGAGAAAATGATTACACTTCAGCACAGAAAGAGACCTCAATGGATTAGATAATAGGTATGTGACAGAATAAATGGCGTGCTATGAAAAAAATCATGTGTTTCTGCATTTATCATGTCAAAGATGCAGCTTAAAAACATACTATACTAAACAGACTATTATCACATGTTTTTCTCACACAGACAGAAATGCAATCAATAACTCTGGATAATGGCTTGAGGTCTCTGCTAGTGTTGTATGTCGGCCACCTGAATATCTTTGGATCTGTCACAGCATTATGTTCTGCTTTTATGAATATACAGGACATTCTCTCTTTCAGACTTTTGGTGCAGACTGAGCAAAAGAACATGGAACGCCACAGGCACTATACGACTCTGCTATAATCTATAAAATATTAGCTGACCCCATGCTGCTTCAAGACAAGGGATAATTAAATACAGGTCATGGGGAGCACTGATTCTCTGAGTTATTTGTTTCAAGTTCATTTTTAATAAATTCCTCAACAGCCCTAAGCAAAAAAACACTACTACTGAAACTATATTGAGAATAGAACAAATGGAGAGCTGGGTTGGGTTAAAGATGAAGAAAATTGGAACGCTTCTGAGCCCAGACTAATCTGATGGCAAGACCAAAGCAATTTCATTTTTATTGTAAAGGTTGAGGAAAAGGAGACCTGATAATTATATTTATAATTGTGGTAAAAGTTCATTGGGCGAGAGAATAACAATAAAGGTCACCAACCTCATTTTCAGACTTGGTTATTTACTGTTTAAGTATTGAAATATTTAAGCACACTCTTAAAAAAATTACGATTTTTGTACTGGCATCGATGGTTCCATTTAGAACATTTAACATCCACAGAAGGTTTTTACAGTGGACAAAAGGTTCTTTATAGTGGAAAAACATTCAAATGTTGGTTTAAATAAAGTGGATCTTTTAAGAACTGTTCAGAAGAAAATTCTTTTGAAGAAACAAAAATGTTTTTTTTTTTTAGTCTAGTGAATTTTAATGCATTTCTCCAAACAACAAGCATTATCCATACAGCACGTATAATATTTGTCCATGCAAAAGCAGGGAATTTTTTTTGACAAAACAATTGTCCATCCACAATGGCCTGGTTTACTCTGGTTTACACTGGTTGGATAACAAACACTAGGGGATAATGGCTCTCCATCTCATTCCAGCGCGAATGGAGCCCTTCTGATGTTATAAAGATCTGCGGTCAGTTCTGGGCTGCAATTGGTCAGATTATATGTCACTCAGATCGGCCATTACAGACTCTGGGAACTCCACTGGTTGGATAACAAACACTGTGGACAGATCATGAAGAATGGAACAGAGCATGCATGAGGCAATGTCTGGGGATTGAGGCTGTACGAAGAAAGGCAAAGTGTGAGACTGCCAGGCAGCCACCCACCAATCTGTGAAAATCTGCCTTCGCTTTAACTGCTTGCTTTAGACTGAATTAAGTATTACATGATCTGAACGTTTTTTTTTTAGAAATAACAGCTATACAGCCTGCATCTACACATAGCAAATAACAAAAAGAGATAGTCTGGCCAGCGCTTCCAACAGGAGTAAAAACAACACAGACAGAAGCAATTACATAAGCATTCTGATAGCCAGTCAACAAGCACGACCGCTCCACGTAACAGATCGCCTACACAGCTTCAATAAATTCAAGAATGCCCTATTTATTTTACACACACAATATAGCTGTTTTGTAAATGAAAGCAAGGGATTCTAGCATTAGAACGCTATAATTATCTGTCATATTCATCATATCCTAAAAGCGACTTTCTTTAACCAGACATTTTCCAATTACAGCTAAGCCGACCACACAAGCTCAGAAAAAGTTTTAAAGGAATAGCTCTGATGTCATTCCAAACCCATCAAATTTTGTTTTATATCTTTAAAAAAAGGTGTTCTGAAATAATGTATGTATACTGTATATATATATATATATATATACACACACATAAAATGACACAAGCACTACCATTCAAAAGTTTATGGTAAATAATATTTTTAAAATGCATTTGAAAGAAATTTCTTAAGGTCAAAGGGGCAAAGCTGAATTTTTAGCAGTCATTATTGTCATGTAATCCTACAGAAGTTGGTTTAACTTTTGATTAATACTCATTAATAAATCAACTTTCATTAATAAATCATTAGCAAACATTATATAATGCTTAATGGATCATTAGTTAATATATATATATATATATATATTCACATAGCTAAAACATGAGATAATGTGCCTGTTAATGTTCACTAATAAACTTATCAAACATTACATATAATGATTAACAGATAATTATTTCATGAAAATTAAAATGCGTACAATTGTCATTAAACTTTTAAATCATATGATCATGCACATCTTGAAAATCTACAAATGATTTGAACAGATGTTAAACAATTATTAAAAGCTTTTGTAAATGTACAACACTTTTGCTGCTATTGGGGTGTGATACGGGTAAGGTTAGGCACAGGTTTGGTGGTATGGGTAGGTTTAAGGGTCGGTTAAGGGGTCAACAACACGGTTCAATCTGTTTATACATATTACATTGTTTTGATAAAAGATAAATTAAGTATTTTCTTGAAAAATGTATTTTCTCCTGTTGATAAATGATTCAAGGAATATTCTGTTTAATGGTACACAATAGTATACTAATATAAGTGTTGAGCGAAAATAAAAGCATGTTTTGCACCCAAATTACAATGTGTGTTATGTCTTTAGCAAGCATTTAGATAAACTTAGGCTAACTAACCACCCTTTACACAAACACTGTTACAACAGCTAAACGTCCAATGCCCATAAAGATACTGAAAGGTTTATAAACATTTACAAATGATGAATAGTCTCAACTTTAGATTGGGTACTACAAAAACAGATGATTAATAAATGATTTGTAAAGATGTGTAAACAGGCTGAATTCAGGTTAGGACACATTTTGCCATCGAGATGACTGCTCATAAAGGTACTAATGTCATTATAAACATTTACAATTGATGAATAGTTTCCACTTTAGATTTGGTACTACAAAAAACATGAACAAATAATTAATAAATTATTCCTTAAGATGTGAAGACCGTAGAAGTCAAACGAAGACCAAATATGCAAACTTTACAGACTGTGATTATGAGTTAATCACTAATGTTAACATGAATAGCTTGTGAAGTGCTTAAAATTACGAATTATTTCACAAGATTTGTAAATGTAATAAAAAAAGAAAATTAGAACTGAAGTTTAAAGAGTTTGTTAGAATTCAGAAGTACGATAACAAATAAACTTGTAATCATTGTATAATTTCTGTTCAAATCATTTGTAGATTTGTAAAAAAGTGCATGATCTTATGAATTGAAAGTTTAATGGCATTTGTAACATTAACTAATGAGCCGTTAAGCATTATATAATGTTTGTTAATGATTTATTAATGATTTTAATCATTGTAATCCATTTTATCAAAATCATTTGAAGAATTTTAAAAAGTACATGATCAAATGAATTGAAAGTTTTAATAACATTTGTAAGCATTTCAATTTACATTAAATAACGATCTGTTAATCATTAGATAGTGTTTAATAAGTATTTACCTAAGAGGGCCTGTGAAGGTGATAGGTGTGACATTATTTCCTCCCTCATGCAGATTCAATTTAGCATCTCTCCATGCCAAAACCAGATGAGCTGATACAAGCTCTACACAAAAAAAGTGACTGAAGGGCAAACACTTACAGTATACACCAACCCAAGGATCCACAATCTCCAAAAGGCATTGTAGGTGAAAGAGTCTGTGCAGCCAGCCAGAGGAAACGGCTAACAAGATGTAGAGGCAAGTGAGGTGTATGAAGTGGATGGAAAATTTTTCCATTCTGTTCTTTTTTTTATTTATTTTATTTTACTTATTTATTCAAAACACAACCACAGAAAGCTGATGTTTCTTTACAACCACTGAATAATCTCTGTCATTAAGCAAAACAGTAATAATCAACATATACTGCCACCTAGTGGTACATTGATACCAAAATACCTTTTATCTAGTGTTACAAAAAAAAAGCTACGCTGTATAAAAACTAATAAACATTTTTAAAAGTTGCAAGAAAACAAACATTATTGGAATACGTTTAACAAGAAAATACTATTTTAGTCTTTCTACTTCAAAATTTCACATTTAGGCCTAATTGAGTTAAATGTGTTACTAGCCGATTTATTGTAATTATTTGTGACATTTACTAGCAAGTTCTAAGCGACAATTATTTCTACACCAATTTTTAACAGTTAGTTAATAATCAATAATACAGTTTTAATCCCCCACAAACTTTTTCTGTTTAAAAAGTCAAGTATAAAACCTCACAACAATGCAACAAATCGCATATCAATAAAAAATATTAGGCCCAGTTTGTGTTTCTCAGTATGTCTTCTGTAATGAGATATGTGGGTAAAAAGCTGTCCGCAGAAAAGCACAGGGCTGTTCACCTCAGGTGCCTCGGTTAATTAGTAAAACACAGCCTGCATGCTGTTTCCTGACAAGCTGTCGGTGTAGTCTGAGGGCACGACAGTAAAATAGCTGCAACTGTTCAGTCTCCTGAGACTGAGATTCCCAGTACACAAGCCTTTTTTTTTTTTTAAAGAATTAGACACGAAGAAAAGTGGCAGGGGACTGCTATGGTTGAAACTGTACTACAAATCATTTTGATATTCTTGACAAATACATTTAGTTTTTTCTTCAACTTTACTGGGACAAATAAACAGCCTTTTCAGACTCTTGCAAGATATCTGCGCTAACAATGTCCAGAACATACATGAAACTTTTTTTTCTTTTCTTTTCTGTTTTGTTCCTCAGATTGTCATGAACAAATGGCATTTCCATCACATTTTTGGAATAAAATGGCCTATACTCCTTTGTCTTGCTAAGGACAAGCTAGCAGTATATTAATCTTAAATGCACACAATGTCACAACATTTTCCTATTTTAAGAAACAGAGCTTGATAATAAAAATATCCTGTTGACAAGTGATATTTACCTTGGTTTTCATCATATGTCTGAGGCATGCTCTTCATTGTTGTCCCTTGGTAAACAAATACCCAAACTTTAGGAGGGAGGGGGAGCCACAACACAACTGAGTGACATAATTTGTGAAAAATGTATTATTATTATTATTTAAATAAATCAATTTCATAATGTAAACACTGGCAGCTTGTTTACTCCACTCTTTGCCTGGATTATCGTAGTTTTATAAATGAAATAATTGTTTGTAGAAGCATTTTCATAGTTTTTAAAAGACTGAAGTCTGGGTCTTAGAAACTGATAAAACAGTTTAAATTTATACAGTTTAAAACTGATATAAATTTGAACGTATACATTTGAAAAGTAGCAAACTTAAAAAATGAGTCACTTGCTCGGTCAAGAGAAGCGTTATTTTGCTTTACTTTTATTTTGAATGTCATGATGAAATGGGAAGTGTAGTGCAATTGTTTTTATACAGTCTATGGTACCAGCGCATGTAGGGATACGAGGGAATGAAACAGCAGACAATTAAAATGGATAATATTAGCGTAGCAGTCACTTTAAGCAGGGCAGAAGGAAAGTCTGTGATTAAGCAAGTTTGTAGGAGTAAATGGCAGAACTACTGGAACTCGTGTAAAAAGGAAGACATTTTTATAGAATGCAAAGTAACATAAAACAAGGTAAAATTAAGCATTATATAAATAGGAAGGACTTTATTATATATACTAGATTAAGAATGGATCATACTAATCTTAATGCAACACTTCATATAATCGGCAAACATAATTCTGGTTTATGTAATGCATGTCAGGAAATGGAAACGGTTGAGCATGTTTTGATTAGATGTAAAAATAAAAATAAAAAAAAGAACAGGAAAGAACTGAACTTATAAGAGATATGCAAGCTTTGGGTATTTTGGAATTTACCTTAAATAATATTTTAAAGGCAGGAGTAGAATTTTATAAAATAATTACAGCATTAATGAAGTTCTTGAGAAATAGCGGTCTAAGGAACAGAATATAGAAATCTTCTTTGTGTTCCATCTTCGTCACACTCCAGGACAGTAGGTGGCGGTGTGCACCTTTCCAGTTGGTTTGCAACCCGCCAATAAACTCACAGAAGAAGAAGAAGAAGGGAACGCAATCCATCCCAGTAGGTGGCGGAATATGCACCAAAAGCTGGTTTGACAACCGCTATAAAACATCAAAAGAAGAAGAAGAAGGGAAGGGAACGCACACAAGCTGGGTTTTTTTTTTGCATGGGAGCTGAACACGCAGCAGCCAGAAATACAGCTTGGGTGAACCCGAAATAAAATTAACTATAAAATAAAATAAAATATGATAATCTGTACATATAAATTTGAACGTATACATTTGAAAAGTAGAAAACTTAAAAAATGGGTCACTTGCTCGGTCAAGAGAAGCGTTATTTTCTTCACTTTTATTTTGAATGTCATGATGAAATGGGAAGTGTAGTGCAATTTTTATGGGTACCAGCGCATGTAGGGATACGAGGGAATGAAACAGCAGACAAAAATGGCTAAAGAAGCAATTAAAATGAATAATATTAGCGTAGCAGTCACTTTAAGCAGGGCAGAAGGAAAGTCTGTGATTAAGCAAGTTTGTAGGAGTAAATGGCAGAACTACTGGAACTCATGTAAAAAGGAAGACATTTTTATAGAATGCAAAGTAACATAAAACAAGGTAAAATTAAGCATTATATAAATAGGAAGGACTTTATTATATATACTAGATTAAGAATGGATCATACTAATCTTAATGCAACACTTCATATAATCGGCAAACATAATTCTGGTTTATGTAATGCATGTCAGGAACATTTCTAGTAGTTTTTGTTTTTAATATTTCCATTTAGCTTTAATAGTTAATTACATTATTATTATTGTTATTATTATGATTTATTGTTGTTGTTGTACTTAAACATATTTTAGTTAATTGGCAAGTCAACATTTGTATATTTAATTTAACATTTCATATTTATTTTAATTTGAGCTTTAATTCGGTTAAATATATATATTATTTTTTACTATTTTTGTTTTTAACAATAATAACACTGGTCTAGTGGTCAGTTAATATGTGATATTCAGTGGCTGGTTGTTTGGTCCCCCCTAAAACATTTGATAACATTGTGTATAACGTCCTTCTTGTCTCTCACTAGGTAAAGATCGCATCATATTTGTCACCAAGGAGGATCATGAAGCACCCAGTAATGCTGAGCTTATCGAAGATGATCCAAATGATCCATATGAGGATCACGGTAAGTTTTTGATCTTGTCTCTCACTAGGTAAAGATCGCATCATATTTGTCACCAAGGAGGATCATGAAGCACCCAGTAATGCTGAGCTTATCAAAGATGATCCAAATGATCCATATGAGGATCACGGTAAGTTTTTGAGCTAATATATTAATCCTTGAGTAAAGAATTATCATGTAGTTTAGCAAGAAATATGCCTTATCTTGTGTCTAGGATACTCATTTTTACACTCATTTCATTTGGTCCTACAGGTCTTATTCTCCCTAATGGTGATATAAACTGGAACTGCCCGTGTTTGGGTGGCATGGCCAGTGGCCCTTGTGGACAGCAGTTCAAGGACGCCTTTTCTTGTTTCCACTATAGTAAAGAGGAGGTAAAGGGTTCAGATTGTGTGGAAAACTTCCAGAGTATGCAGGAGTGTATGCAGAAGTACCCTGAGCTCTACCCTCAGGAAGATGACAATGACAGCGCCCCCTCTGGTGGGGCGGATACTGCACCCACTGACTCTGTCCCTACATCCTCTCCTGATTCCACACCAGCAACCACAGAAAACCCAGCAGCTAGCTAATATTATCTTGGCTTCATTCCCTTCACACCTCACAGCAAAGAGAGCTCCACTTTTGAGTATGAAGAGATCATATCTAACTATGCCACTGGATCGATGCTCTCCACCTGACTGCATTTTGTGAATCAAATATTCGAATGGCATTAACATGCACTTAAGGGACCTATGAAAAAATGAGGATCTGTAAGAATGGCAGGTCAGTTTGCACTTGGCCTGTGAAACGTTAGCTGCCATTTGAACCGTCCGGCTTTGTATTTTCTGATTATTATTTGCTCCACAACCTAAGCTTAGCTTGTTTGACTTGTGTGCTACAACAGATCAAAGGTCAACTGGCGTTGGAGATTGAATAAACAAAACAAATAAACATTTCATGTGCTGTTTTGTTGTAGAACATGATTAAACAATTTTATGATGAAGAAATGTTCTGTTGCTGAAGTGTTGGAAAGCATGTAGCCCAAGGTTGCACACCAAGTACAAACATTAGGGGGTGTGAGTAAGTAAACCAGTAGCCTTACCCATCATCTGATGATAAAAATACATAATTTGTTGACGTTAAACGATTATAATGGCAAAACAACACATTATAAAAGAATGGATCTTCTGTTTAGTAAGAACATGCAAAGATCTGTTGTTCCAAAGACTAGTAGGTTTCGTTCAATTGAAGTATCTTAACACTGAGGGCTGTTTCTAGATCCATTTTCAACACATGCTAATAATATACAGTTAAAAATTGTGCTAATATCAGATCCTTTTTATAACTCCTAAATATGTTTAAGCTTATGTGGCTTATTGATATATTCAATCAATGACACTTGTTTATCCAAGATTGACATGTCATTCAAAGCCTTAATGTGAATTTTCCTATTTTGATTAAACAAGAACCATAATGATCTTTTCATCTGTGATATATCTGTTTCTGAAAAATCTTTTAATAAAACAAAAGATACTGAGTCCAAATCATGCATAAGCACTAGGAGAATTTAAATCAGACTGTAACTTTTTTTTTTTTTCATTTTTCAATTGTGTGATGTTCAAATGCATTTTTAAAAACACCTGACTGAGATGTAGTAAGAGAAGCAAATAAAATAAGTGTGAATGAATCTCAAAAATGTCCTGTGGATTCACTGGCTTGCGTTTGTCATCTTCAAGAAACAAATTTTTGAAGATGATAATCTAGAAACTACAGAGAAATGAGTACAGAAACGGTTCATTCAGTCTTATGAATGCCATATCCATGTTCTTCCATGTCCACAAGGCAACAGCCGCCAAGATAAAGAGTTATTTTTAAGAGCCTTGCTCAAGAGGTGCTGTATAACTATTACAGTTATTTGAAGTGGCTATTCAGTGCACGTTGCCATGCGATTTCTCCATGAATCTTGTTTCTGGTAATTACCCTCATTCCATTTCAGTTGCATCCGGTCTCTATCACATATCAGATATCTCTATCAGTTGCATCATGGTCTATTTAGGATCCGGCTGCCTTTTTTGGTATAGTGAGGGCTTTCAAGTTTGGGCAGTGTTGAGCTACTGTACTTGTATTTGGGTAAAGTCACGCTCATAAGCAGCCCTGATGCAGTGCTTCTGTGACCTGAAAGCCCAGGATGGGGGTCCAGGGGACTACTAGACTTTGCATGGTGACCAGTAGCCGTCCTGAGTCAACATCTTCAGGACCTGCCAGTAGATAGTTCCCACCTAAAGATGGAGACACAAAAGTCACTTCTCTAATGGTGAACTTGACTGAATCAAAGCCATGACCCAAATAGTTGTTGGGTGCTGTACCTGGGTTGAGGATGGGACAGGTGCAGCCACGACTGGTCCAGGAGAGCGGATAGAGACTGTGTGTGCCCTGGGAGAGAGGCAGTTTTCCAGAACGAAACACCTTCCTCACCTTCACCAGGACAACTGCGTGTGTGCCTTTATCATGAGCTGACAGCACGCTGGCTTTGATCACTATGAACACCACAAACAGTCAATTCTATCATTAGATTTAAATGTTTAGACAGCAAGTGTCAACCGAAATGATTCATAGCATGAAATTAAATGATTCAATACACTAAAAAACCTCACCATATGTGTGTTTCATCTTGCAAAGATCTGACACACTTTTCAGTTTATTTTCGTTACAGCTGCACTTCCCTGTAAAGAATTAACAAGAAACATTTCAGAGGTTATTACAAATTTATATATATATATATATATATATATATATATATATATA